ACAATAATGAGTGAGTGGAAGTAATAATTATTGTAAAAATAAGCTCCAATATTTGACGATCAGTTGGAAAAAGATATATTCCCCGTTTGGTGCTTTTGTATTAAAAGAAAAATTAAATGAATAAGTATGCACCCGTGGTTTGGCAAACTAATGGTCGATCGTGAATAAATTCATCAAGAGACAGCATCTATATTTATATTGTTTTCCGTTAGCACATACGAATTTTCTAATCGCGGTCAGACACCGGGACAAATTATAACCGAAACATTGCACCATAACCTATTTCAACTGTCCGCTCACTGGCGCTTCGTTACTTGTATAAATATTTCATTGATAATAGATATATACATTAAATCGTTACATTTAAATCGTTTTCCCCTATTTAAGGGAATCTTAAGTCTTCGAATAGATTTTCAAATATTTATATCAAAATTATTCTTAATATTATATTTTGTATTGTATTTGTGACGACCTACGCTTAAACGTCCAGTTACTGAAACATTTATCTTAATCTTTGTCTCGTAAGTGGAAATCGGGAAGCGAGAGAGAGAGAGAGAGAGGGAGAGAGGAAGGAAGAGAGAAAGCGGATAATTAAAGGATTCGATGGACACTGTGATGGACAAATGTGACGCTGCGTTAATATTGCTGCGAATATGCAAAGCTGATATTAAAAAGACTCCGAACTTTCCAAAATATCCCGTGAAACCGCGATGATTCGATTTGCCTAATCAGTCGTAAAAACGAGAACATCGTCACCGTGAAAAATAAGAAGAGCGCGCTCGGCTAAAGTCGCTTTCGGATCTCGACGTCGACGGTAAACATCCGGGGAGTTGTATGAAATCTGCGGCGAATAAGAACGGTTTGAAGCAAGATTTGGAGAAGCGACGAAAGGAAGGGAAGAAAGCAAAAAAAAATATAAAAAAAAAGGAAACAGAAAACAAGAGACGAGCGCGCTCCGCGACAGCGCGTGCAAATAACACAGGCGATCCGGCGATATTAAATTGCGGCTCTATCGCAAAATCGGCGTCCCGACACGCGCCGTCGCGCCGGAAAAATTCTGCGAAACGTCTAATTTATATAACACCTCGGCCGTGCCTCGATCGCTTTTCTCTTTGCGGCGGGGCCCAGTGAAAGTGAACGAGGCGGCGCGGATAATCGGCCGTCCCGACGACGACGACGACGACGACGAGGAGGAATAACGCCGCAACGCCGACTGTCCCGGACGAGACTCGCGTTTCTCCGCGAAAACGCCGCGGCGTTTTTCGCGCCGTTTTCGCGACCGCCGAACGCGACGCGCAACCACGGCGCGCCGTTATTTTTCTCCTTTTTCTCGCGTGCGTGCGAGCATGCGAACGCCGTCGCGTTACAAGATCGCATTTTCACGCGCGAAAATTACTCGACAACTGTGAGTTTCGCTGTAACCGGTGCGACGATGTCGAGGTAAAGAAAAGAAAAAAAAAAAAAAGAAGAAAAGAGAAAAAGAACCGCGGTAAAAAAGAAGAAAATCACACACGAAAGACGCATGTACACATGAATGGCGACGCGCGACTACACGAACGTGTAGGGCGAAAGAGAGCGAGGGGACGGAGGGGTGAGGGGTGGAGGAAGTAAGGGTGAGCGGGTCCCAGGCAATTAATCGCAATTAACGGGCGAGCGGCCGCTCGCCAGCCGTCGATTTGTAAAGCGAGAAAAGCGCGTTGCGCAAAAGCGCGAAGCCAGGAAGTCGCATTGGCTGGCGAAACGCGCGCGACCGATCGCCGTAAAGTCGAACCGCTTCGATTTTTATCACCGATGCGCCCGACTCGTTTCGCGAGCCGGGTCGTTATAGCTGGACGCGCGGGGCGCGAGGAGGGAGGACGGTGAGGGGAAAAAATTTGTTTCGCTCATGTAGCGCGCAGCGTTTGCGAAAAATTTGCAACGAATGACCGCCTATTTTAATTAGACCGCTCAGGTGGAACCTGTTTCTCCGATTCCCGAGAGAGTGAGGGAGAGAGAGAGGAAGGGAAAGAGAGAGAGAGAGAGAGAGAGAGAGAGAGAGAGAGAGAGAGAGAGAGAGAGAGAGAGAGAGAGAGAGGGCTCAAACCAGACACGATTAAACCAGCTCCCCTTTCGTCAGCGAGAACGAGACACAATCGTTCGGTTCGATTCCTCGCTGGGATTTAAATACGCGACCTAAAATATATATCGAGGATAACTATTTTGTCTCTTTCTTTCTCTCTCTCTCTCTCTCTCTCTCGCTCTTTTTCTCGAGAGAGAGAGAAAAAGAGTGGGAAGGAATATTTTCGTGAAGATGAATATTCGTCGCGTATTATCGAATTCCGCACGCACACACGAGCCGTCACGTCCATAAATCTGACAGCTGGGGAGGGGGGGCGGGCGGGAGGGGGAAAGATAACAAATCGGCAGAAACGTTCGCCCTCCCGCCTCGCGGCGTCGAGACATCGAGAGCGAGCCAAACTGAAAACTCCCCGTCAGCGATATTCTTCGGCGGCGAAACGAGGAGCGAGACAATGGACAGTCCCCCGATATGTCGGATGTTTTTCGGCTAATTGGCGGCGAGAAAACGCTTTTCAGTCCGCGAGGTGAGCGGCGAAGTTAAGTAACGGCCACTTTCACTCATTTTCACGAGCGACCCTCGGGGTCGTCGTCGTCGTCGTTTCCCCTTTGTATGAAACTCGCCGTAATCCTGACGTCTCTCCCACGTTTTTTTCCCTCCCCCCTTTACCCCTTTTTTGCCAACGACGCGAGACAAAGCCGTCGCCAGCCGTCGCGAGATCCGCCGGCGACTCGCGTAGCGATTCCGCTCCCGCAGAGCGAGCGAGCGAGCATCATTCCGAAGGGAAGACGCGTGCGGGAAGTTTTCTCGGTATGTAAAAATTTCAACGGCGCCTTCTCTCCGTTTCGAGGGCGAGGGGAGGAGGAGAGAGACCAAAGGGTGGCTAACTTCCGTCGATTGAACTATCCGGCTCCGCGCTCTTCGCGTTGGAGCACGGAGAGAGAGAGAGAGAGAGAGAGAGAGAGAGAGAGAGAGAGAGAGAGAGAGAGAGAGAGAGAGGATGAGTCGCTTCCAACGGGGCGGGGGCTAAAAAAAGGCTCTCGCGAGAAAGCGCGAAATTCGGCTGCAATTTTCGAGGGATTTTATTCCGGGCTTTATTTTCAGGAATACTCGCCGACCGCGCCGGCTTCTCTCGCGGATTATCCGCGACGACGAGTCGCGCGAGAGAGAATCTCCCGTGCCCACCTCCCGAGAAGGATAATTATTTCGAGCAGCCCTCTCTCTCTTTCTCTCTCTCTCTCTCTCTCTCTCTCTCCCGCGTGGACGGAGCGAATCGGCCGTTTTATGCTCTACATAGCTCAGCCATCGTCGCGGAGAGAATTAACCTACCGTGCCCGAAAACACACTACCTTACTTAGCAGCAGCACGAACGTCCTGGTCGCGCTCGTCTGAAGCTAAACTGCCGCTTCCAAAGACAGAGAGAAAGATGAAGAGAAAGAGAGAGAGAGAGAGAGAGAGAGAGAGAAAGGGAGAAGAGAGAGGAAAATCGTGTGCGATTATAATCAGAATTCGTTCAATTAAGAACCGGCAAACGAGAAGAAAGATCGAGCTCGCGTGACGGAGGAGAACGTCTTTCGAATTTCAACGCTGATAATAGGCGCGGCCTGTTATCGTCCAATTGTTTTCCATCCCATCTGACACTTAAAAGTTTCCGTTCGCTCAGGTGACACGTCCGAGATTAAAAGTCGAGATTTCTCAGCCGGCTCCAGACGGCTTTTAAATTTTTTAAATTTTTCGTGTATACCCTTCTTTTATACGCATACTACCCTATATGTATACATTTTTTATATAAATATCGATATTTTTCAAAATTATCGATATTATCGTTATCGACGGTTCTGAATGACGATAATATCGATATCTTGAGAAATCGTTGCACCACTAGCTGAGACAGGCAGTCCGTCGAAATTCTTCGAAAGTCTTTCTCGATCCGACATGTGACGACGTATATATGACGAATGTTCACTTAATTATCGTACATAGGAAAAATGTCCCCCCTGCCGAATAACACGGGTAGCAGCACACCTGTTGGCAGAATCTACGAGTGTGTCGCGTGAAAAGATCCCAAGGAAAAGCAAAGGACATCCTGCGATCGACCGACTCCCGTCGTCGGCCAGAGGGAATCCAGTGAAATCGGCCGAAGGAGTCGCGTTTCGTCGGCGGATGGACAGACGCATCGCGTGCTCCGCGTTACTGACGCGAAACTTACGCCGATGAATCGCCCGCGCGTTATCGTCTCGCCACGGGATAATCGAGCGAGCAGCGTGTGCGTGGCTCGATAACATATGTTACGATTCCGACACGACGGAGGCGCGCGCGCGCGCCTTTATCAGCCGGATATTCATTCTCGTTTTTCGACGCTTCCGTTCCCCCGTATTGCGTTTTCCAGCGAGACCGGCGCGCATCGATCGTACGCGGCCGGGGATCCCCCGGCGTTGGCGGCGAAAACGCCAAATTCCCCTCGGCCTCCCTTGAGTCGCCCGTTAAGCGGCCCGTTTAATCGCCCTCGATATTATAATCGTGCGCGGTAATTGCCAATTTCCTGTCCGATTTCCAACAGCCTCGAACGCATCCCTTGCCGATCCCGCACGTCCCTCCCCCCCCCCTCCCACTAAGAGCTCGCCATTTCTTTTCAATTACTTTCAATATCGCCGTCGGAGTCGGGCTCTCCGCGAAAGTCGCGGGATCCGCGGAATCCTGCGATCGGCGAGAGAGAGAGAGAGAGAGAGAGAGAGAGAGAGAGAGAGAGGGAGGGAGGGAGAGAGGAAGAAAAAGAGATCGCAGATCGCCCGCGAGGCCGTCGTCGTCGAGCCCTCTCCGAAAGCCTCCCGCCCGCTCCGATAATCAAAAGCTCGATAACTCGACAAAGGGCCGCAGGAAAATAAGATTCGCCTCGCGCTGCGCGCACCCCGCCCCCCCCGCCCCGCACGCCGCACTTCTTTACCCGAATTGCCACTGGTAATCCGGGGCTTCGCAAGGAGCAAAGTCCTTCGAGTCGATCTCCGATATCCCGCGCGCGCATGAAAACGGAGCACACTGCGACGATCGGCGCGAGCGCGTTGCACTTTCACAAGTCGCGGACGCGCGCCGCGGTTGCGAGATCCGACGAGGGGTCTCTCTCCGCGAAGGAAAGGACACGATGTCGCGCGCGCGACCAGCTGACAGCGCGACGCGGCTGTCAGTTATTGTCCGCGGCTGCCAGCGAACTAACTGACACGCGCGCGGCGCGGCGCGGCAGCGAGAAGAAAGGCGCGCGGGAGAGCCTGCCGCGGCGACTGGCTCTCGCCGTGGGACTTCGAAGCGGCCGTGCGGAATAGGGGGGGGGGCATCCTGAGCCGCCAGGAGAAGAGAGAACACACGGACGGGCGGGCACGTACACACGCACGCACCTGGTGCGGCTACGTCGGGGATACGCGCAGAGAGCGACACATTCCGCGCAGTCGGAGATGCTCCTCGATAGCTCAAACCCTTTGCGAGTCTGCTGGTAACTGTAGTTACCAGGGACACATTTAAGAATCCACAACTTAGTGGAAAAAGGAGATATTTTCGTCTGTTTTTTGCACCTGCACTGTAAAGGTGAATTCGTCTTCTAAAAAATGGTATACAGGTTGTATGTGGGTTCGGTTTGGTCTGTTTTTAGCTGAGTTTTAATGGCAACATAGGACGGCCAGTTCACTTTGACAAGAAGAAACTGAAGAGTGATCGAAGGCATCAGGGAATGTTACACCGAGCACATGCCTGTTAAGGAAAACGGTAAAAGACGTTGCCAATTGTGCAGAGGGAAGCAAAGCGGGACAAAAATAATTTGCAAGATCTGTAAAATTCCCCTCTGCGTCTCTCGATGCTTTATGCAATTCCATTCCGGGTAAATAAAGATCAAGTTCTGAATATGAGTTTTATGTTTCGAGGAATTTTGCCAACCATTAGGTATGATATAAAATTATTAAAACTAAGAAACAAAAATTTAACCGATCCAGGTGTATTTTTCGCTTCCGGGAGTGGTTTCTGCTTGGAAAGGTAGTTTTTCGTAGATATAAAATTCTGATATTTTTTTTGGTTATCACTACTTATAGTCTCAGTTCAAAAAAAGTCAAATTTTATTCTTGAAACACTTGTAAAAATGTCGGGCGTTAAAGGGTTAAAGGACATTCGGCCGCCGCGGCCGAAATTAAATTCTTCTCACTTTCCGCGGGCGCGTCTGACACTCCGACAGCCGCGACCGCCTCCTCCTGCCCCCCTCCTGAATTATTCCTCAAGCTGATTTCACAAGCGACGAGTGAGCCGGAGTCTCCCGGGAAGTGATTCGAGAATTATTCATTTTCTTTTTCAAGAGGATACATTTGATTTTCGATTAGAACTCGAGATGTGCGAGTCAAGAATTTTTTATATCGAGTCGAATCGAATCTCATTTTTCAAATTCGAGTTCGAATTGAATCGAATCTATGAAATTTCACTCGAATTCGAATCGAATCAAATGAAATCGAATCGAATCATTATAAAATTTAACGTGACCATTAAACATGCAAATAATGATGGAAGATTTCAATATGAAAGGGAATATTGATATTGTAATATGATCTTAAAGTAAAATACATATTTAAATATTTAAAGTAATTTATAATGAAGTTATTAATTATATATCAAGTTAATTACAAGTTAAGAGTTCAAACATACAGGCCCAGATGACCCGTTTTCTAGCTGATGCGCGCAAACGCTAATATATTTGATTCGTATTCGAATCTTCGCGATCGGAAATTTTCGAATTATTCGGATTCGAATCGAATCGAATTACGTTAGATTCGATTCGATTCGAATTCGAATTCGAATAGTTCGCACATCTTTAGTTAGAACCAAGAGATTCAGTTCGGAGGGTTTTACGTCGAACTAGGAAATATTTATACGTTTTAAGAATCGTGTGCGCGGAATGTTTTGGAAATTCGAGTTGCGCGCTCGAGTTGAACGAGAGCGGAAACGGAAGCGGCCGAGCGCAAATTATCCGCAGTGGAGAGTCCTCCGTGTCGAGACTCGACGATATTTTTCCGATACCTTGCGATTACCGCACTTTCGAAAAGCAGCTGAAGAGGTCGCAGGTCAGCCGCCGCCACGTTTCCCGCCCTCGGAGACTCGTTCGCGAGTGTGTATTCATTTTTAATTTTCCAATTAATCGGGGAGTTAGCTCGCTAATTTGCCCGCGGCTGCTGATCGCATCGATCGGCGCCGCGCGCGCGCGCGAGACTGCCGTCAAAGTAATAAATATTAATTTCCGCCCGCGACTTTCTCCCTTCGATGCGCGCGTGGGTACGCATTTTCATTGTTCCTCGCAATGGCAATCGTAATGCCGCTTATTACCGGCCTCATCGCGACAGTAATTATTACGTGCGGTGCGCGCGGATCGCGGAAAGAAAGTGGCCGGTGAAATTACGGCACGAGAAAGAGAGAGAGAGAGAGAGAGAGAGAGAGAGAGCGAGAGAGAGACGCGCGTGTGCGCGCGCCTGCTCTTGTGTATTTTAAGCAACAATAATAACACGCACGGTGATATCACCGCGGTGACGCGCGCGGACGCCAAGCGTTGCGGAGTGCCTCGACGTTCGTCGGAGATACGAGAGCCTGTGACGTGAAGGAGAGAAAGGACGAATCTTTCTTAGGAGCTCAGACTCCCGATCTACACTCAAAAAAAAAAGTAATTTCGGAATAAGCGGTATACATCTGAATTTTAGAGGATTTTATTCTTTTATATGTATATGGTCTCAAGAGGTCTCATATATTTAATGCTCTTTTTCTTAATTTCCTTTAAGATCCTTTAAGATCTCCTCTAAGATCAAGAGGGAAATATGATAAACACATTATTCCTGAAGTTAGGAGGATTATACATGTATTATGCGAATCTTATTGATTTTAATATAAATTTCCTCTTACACACAGATTATTTAATCTCTTTTTAAGAGGATTATTATTTATTCCAACTGTACTTTGTTCTTACTGGTTGCACTAGTTGATTCAAAACAATTATTATAGTGTATAGCGAAAAGTAATGTATATGTATAGATGTACTTCTGGCTCCAGTTCTGCAATAAGTAGGCACGGATGAAACAAGATCATCGTAACAAACAAATTTTCAATCAGTTTTGCCATGGACTTGATAACTACAGAGATGTTCATCATAACTAATTGTATGAAACATAGTTAAAAGAAAGAATATATTATTCAACTTCTTGCAATAGATTATAAACTGTATTTGTCCAAATATGGATAAATTATCTTCGTTATATGTTGCAGCAACACACATACCTTTTTGAAAAAACGTTCCAAATATTTTGATCCATGAACATATGGTAATTTCTTCGTTCATGTTTGCAGATTTGCAGGTAAAGCAAGACCGAACAAAAGAGAAGCCGATATTCAAATCAATATATATCGCTCTTCATATAAGAGGAAAATTAATTGATACAAGAAGAAATCTTCTTGAAATAAGAAGAAAATATTGGGTGAGTGCAAAAGTTCGTGCGGAGTTTCAATAGATGGAGTTATAAGCATCGTAAAGTGTTGTCATTAATACTTCCATCTACATATTATATAACGTTGGAAAGGTGACGTCTTCAGCTGTTATTAAAAAAAAAATCATTTGTTTTCATATAAACTGCTTCGAGAAATATCACTTTAAAAATGAGTATCGATAAGGTGCATTTACGGCATGTTATGCTTTACGAGTTTCGGAAGGGAATAAACGTTGCCGCAGCCGTAAAAAACATTCAGGATGTTTATCAGGATGAAGCAGCAGCTAAACGAACTGTGGAAAAATGGTTTGCTAAATTTCGGCGCGGAGAATTTAACCTTGAAGACGAGCCACGCTCTGGTCGACCTTCTGACATTGATGACGATGTTTTGCGTACTTTAGTGCTCAATAATCCGCGAATTTCAACAGAAGAAGTTGCTACAGCACTAAACGTTGACCGATCAACCGCTTTTCGGCGTTTAAAAAAGATGGGATTCGATTTGAAGCTCGATATATGGGTGCCCCATTTGCTGACCGAGAAGAACAAAATCAAGCGAATTTCCGCAGCCGTTTCTTTACTCGGGCGGCTCAATAACGAGTCGTTTTTGGATCGACTAGTGACGGGCGATGAGAAATGGGTCCTCTACAACAATGTTCAGCGCAAACGGACATGGAAACAATCAGGTGAGCATGGTGACGCAATGCCAAAGGCCAGTTTGCACCCGATGAAGGTGATGCTCTCTGTTTGGTGGGATTGCAAGGGCATAATCTATTTCGAGCTTCTCCCCGCTGGCGAAACGATTGATTCGGACAAGTACTGTCGCCAATTAACCAATCTGAATCGAGAAATAAAAGAGAAACGTCCGATTTTGTCAAATCGCAAGGGAGTCGTCTTTCATCACGACAACGCCAGACCACACGTTTCGAAAAAGACGCTGCGCAAACTGAAGAGCCTGAAATGGGATGTCTTAACGCATCCACCGTATTCTCCTGATATCGCACCATCTGACTATCACTTGTTCCGGTCATTGCAAAATTATTTAAATGGAAAAAACTTTGACTCTTTGGAGGCCTTAAAAAACGGCGTCTCTTCGTTCTTCGAATCTAAACCGCGCAGTTTTTATGATCGAGGCATCCGCATGCTGCCAGAACGTTGGGAAAAGATTATAGAAAACGATGGAGAATACATCATTGATTGAATAAAGATTTTTGTTTGCCTAATCACTGTGTGACTTTTACTCACAAACTCCGCACGAACTTTTGCACTCACCCAATAGAATAATATCTAGTAAATTTTAGACGAATGGTTCACTCTGATCGTTTTATTTCGAAAGAGGAATCCTTCTCCTGTAAAAAAGGCTTCGCTTAGAATATGAAACTATCGGAAAAATCACTTTACAAATAAAATATTTTCTTTTTGGTGTAAAAAAAAAAAAAAGGAACGCGAGTGTTAATACGAGACCGAGGAGGCCTGAGGCCCATTTTTCATCGGCAGTCCCCGGCGAGAAGAGAAAAATCGAGCAAGGACAGCACCGAGTATCACAGTTGCGTGAATTTACATTTTCAGATGTTCACACACCCGCGATCGGGTCTACGTTGAGGACGCGCAGAGGGAACCGAACGGACCAAGTTCAGGATCGCGTGGATCGCGCGATACAAAGCGCGATCGCGTGAAACTCGATGGGAGATACCACCGCCTCTGTTTACGAGATATACGATTTCTATCTGAT